GTGAGAGAGTTCCTGCCTAGAAAGTGCAAGACTCAGTACTTCAACAAGTTCAAACTCCAGTACCACCAAAACAAAACAAAACAAATCAAAAGGAGGCCCTGCAGAGAGCACCCTCTTGTTTTTACCTACTTGTCTGGTTTGGAGTATACTGTAAATATTTGTCTGTATCAGTAATCAAGCTGATCAGGTACTGCAAAATTTGACATAGAATGATTATTTATCAGTGATAATTATAAGTAGCATTTATTGAGCATTTACAATTTACCACGTGCTTTTCTAAATGCTCTGTCTTTTAAATACATCCTGAGAGACTGAGAAGCAATTGCTCTCATTGTATAGCAGGAAAAATGCACCTCTATTCATAGCTCATGGGTAGCAGGAGAAAGATTCTACCTAGGCTGCCTGACTTTAGATCCAAAAGCCATGTTCTCACCTACCTGCCCACACTTCAGATGAGACAAACCAGGGTACAAGTCTTTTGGGCACAGATTCCCCCACCATTGTCTACATTATACCAATGGGGTTCTGACACTGACTTCTGCTTTCTCCAACTACAGAATTTGGGGAGAACAGGATCATTTCTTATTGGGGCCATCATCTGCTGTCAAGTTCTGCCAAAAGATTCTCTGGTTTTCTGATCTTGCTTTACCTTGCTCCAGGCTCAGATGGCTAAGCTCATTTTCTTCCGATTCATTTTTCAGTAAAACGGATTACTCAGGCTTTGTTCAGAGGTACATGGGATTTGCTTGTTTACTTTTGAGACAGTCTCACAATGTAGACTAGGCTAGCCTTGACCTTTCAATCCTTCTGCATTAAACCTCTCAAGTGTTGTGATTATATGTCTTTACATATATACATATATTGCCTATTATGATCTATCTATCTATCTATCTATCTATCTATCTATCTATCTATCTATCTATCTATCTATCTATCTATTTATCTATCCATCTATCTACTATTATGTGCCTCTAATCCTCAGGTTGTGATGATCAGAAGGCATAAGTTCTTTTTTTTTAATTTTTATTTATTTTTTTTATTGTGAAAATACTGTACAGAAGGGTTACAATTAGATGGGCAAGAAATGAGTACATTTCTTATCAAGCATTGTAGCCTCCTCCTTTGTAGAAGGCATAAGTTCTTATTCCTCACTTTCCCAGGAAGTAGAAGTTCCTGTTTGGAGTCCAAGCTAAATCAGCTCTTCCTGTATTGAAGTCTTTTGTATGTTTTCATTGACTATTCTGTGTCACCACACAGAACTGGGGGTGGCTTGTATTACCATCCGCTCATTCACGACACATTTCTCAAGCACCTATTTATGTTCCAGGCACTGTGCTGAGTGCTGGGGTTGCTATGGTGACCAAGACAGAACTTGTTCCTGCCTTCAGTTTACTGCTTCCGAATTAACCAGGCACATGAGGCTGCAATGACAGTACAATGTGATAAAGATTCTACAACAATAACAAGCAGGTTGAGAGCACATAAAAAGGCCACCTACTCTATACTTGAAGGGTTGGGGCAGAGGACTTGGAGGAACTGATATGGGAGGATTGAAAGATGACTAGAAGAGGTTGGTGGTTGGGTGACAAAGAAAAGAAAGAGTGAAAAAAGAAAATCCTGGAAAATTCAAAGACCTACAGGCAGAGAAAGCATGCTGAACCTAAGCAGCCACAATTAAGCTTGAGAGACTTGAAGCAGATTTTAAAGCAGAAACTGACCAGGATGAAGCTGGAGAGTGAGGAGGGTTGGCACATGAAGGCTGGCTCTCTTTGCCATGCTGATACCACTTGCTTCCAGAAGCTAAATGATTGCCTCATGGATATTTACTGACAGGGTATGGGGCTGAGGAGCAGGAGGAAGATGAGGATGATGTAGTGAATCCAGTTGTTTGCTGGAGATGATAAAGCTTGATCTCAGGACCTTTGGTCCTGGATCCTAGTTCATGCAGTTCAGGGGCCACAGCCCCAGGTAGAATCCCTTGTGGCCCAGACATGCCAAAACTTCCTCCTGCTGTCTCCATAGTGCTCTCTTCCCCAAACTGATATCCTTGATCATTTTCCCTTTACTACATTTTCCCTTTACTACCTGTGTTGCTGCCATTTCCACAGCCAAGCCTGAACTAGTCACTGTTGCTACTTGGTGTGAAACCAGGCCTTTCTAATTCCAGCAGCCTTACAAGGTAAAGGTGGTTACCTCCATTGGTACTGATAGAGGCTCAGAGATATTAAATCACTTGTCACAAGTCACAAAACTATAAGTGGTAAGACAAAATTTGGGTATGAACTGATTCCCAAACCACTACAACCATATAACAGTGTCTCTCTCCCCATAAATGCTGCACTTCTTACTAAGGATTCCTCAGCTCTACTCTGCACAGTTTCTTGTTTACCCTTTTCTTTTCTTAGAATTTTCTTTAAGTAGTTGTGCACAGGGGTTTGTGAGTACAATGCAACTTGATCAGTGTCACCTCTTTCATCATTCTCCTCCATCTCTCCCAGCCCCACCCATCCCCTCAATTTTCCTAGCTCCGTTTCCACATATGTGCCTTGAATCTCTCTCCATTAATCAGCCTCCCTCTCCTTAACCTCATCTCTCCACAACACATAGCCCAACTTTCTGATATTCATTTTGCTAAACTGTGAGTTTGTTATTCAACGGAGTTATAGCACTGGAATCCTCTGCTGCATAGACCACAGTTTAGTTAGCATGTTTGTGGATAGATGCAGACTTAGATTATTATGCACAATTAGACTTCATTTAAAATAACTTTTTCCAGGTCCACTTAGTTCTTTGCAAATGATGTGCTATTATTCTTCCTGTCAAATGAGTAAAATTCACTATATAAAATTAATTTGTCCACTGAAGGGCATCTGGGCTGTTTCTATGACTTGTCTATGGTACATAGTGAAGCAATAAGAATGGGTATGCAGGGCTGGGAAGGTGGCTCAGTGGCAGAGTGCTTGCCTTGCATGCCTGAGGCCCTGGGTTCGATTCCTCAGCACCACCTAAAGAAAAAAGCCGGAAGTGGCACTGTGGCTCAAGTGGTAGAGCGTTAGCCTTGAGCTGAAGAGCTGAGGGACAGCGCCCAGGCCCAGAGTTCAGGCCCCACGACCGGACCCAAAAAAAAAAAAAAAAAAAAAGAATGGGTATGCAAGGGTCTTTACTGTAACAAAAGTTGGATCGGAGGCTTCTGAAGTAGCTTTTCAAAAGTTTTCCCTCAGCCTCCTACTGAAAAATTTAGACACTTTGAAGTATGTTTTATGCATTTTAGTTGTTATTGTAAAGGTGATGTACAGAGAGGATATAGTTATGTATGTCAGTTGAAGAGTACGTTTCCATTTGAACAGCATCATCCCTTCCCTATCTCTTAATTTTTTATTGTCAACATAGTGTCTAGTGAATATCACTGCTGCATTTGTTCACCCTTTGTCTCACCATTTTTTGTACCCCATACCCTTCCCAAAGACAGGTAAACAAACAAACAAGAGAAAGAAAAAACAAAAATAGCAACAAAGCTTCTTGTTTCCATTTCCTGGAATTCACTTCACTATTATTTTATATGATCAGAGGTAAATGATCAACTGTAACTTGTTTTATCTAGGTTAGAGACAGCCTCCCAGCCTCCACTTTGATTAAGGCAATAGCATTTCTTCTCAGAGGATTTTATATACAAGCAGACTTTTTTCTTTTGTTTTTAGGCAGCCCTTAGTATATGTGAACACAATAACTACTATTTGCAGGTGAGGTTCTCTGCCTCTCTACTTAGACTTTTACTGCATGCTGGTTTGGATTTACTTTAATTTTTGACACCTGCTTTTATTACCATTTTCATGCTCAACTTCCATATCAAATAGGATAAGTTTTTCAGGCCCTCTGTTCTCCTGACTCTCCTCTCAAACACCAGTAAAGCCCAGCAACAAGTATTGTAGATTCTAATAGTATAAATGGACATGCTTAGGCTAAGGCTCCAGCCTCAGACAGAGATTCTCATGAATAAATCACTAGGCTTTATTAGATAACTTCTGGAGAAAAGCATAGCTTTTCTTTCCTTAGCCAGATGGCCCTGGCTCTGCACTTCCAAAGGTCATCTGGGTCTTGTCACTGATTACTCTTCCCCTTTCCAGCAGCAAATAGACAAGGCAGTGCTCATCTCAGGCCATTTTCTCCACATTATCACTCTCTAGAGGGAAAAAAAGAGCAAGCAATTACTTCCAGTTAATATAGTCGGGGAACTGTATAGAAGAAAAGTAGTTTACATAGTAGCCATTCTACAATTTGGAATCAACAGCTTATCTTCACCTTGTCCTTGACTGGCTATGGGAACTGGAGCAAGTTGACTTCAGGCACCTTGATTTCTCCTTTTGGAAAATGAGGATGGTGGTGCCAGAGCTGTCACAAGGATGAGATTAGCAAAGATTAAATAAAGCCAAGCAAATTAACATAGTATTTACCCAGAAGTTCTGTTGTTATTATTATTTTTTAAATTATTCTCAAGAAAACCCTCCCTGTGTGTCTTCAGGGAAATCATATTTTCACTTTTCTTTTTTACCATTCTTTATTTGTGTATGGTCCTGAGATTTTGAACTCAGACCTCTGTGCCCACTAAGCCGTCAGCCTACTTCAGCCACACCCTCAGTTCTTTTTGCTTTAGTTTTTCAGGTAGGATGTAGCACTTCACTCCCAGCTATTCTTTTACTACCATCATCTTTCCACTTATCTGGGAGTATTCATGGACCATTTGGCTTGTTTTCTTGAGATAGGATCCTGCTAATTTTTCTCCGGGCTGGCCTTGAACCTCTTCAATCTTCAACCTACCTGATGTTAGCTAGCTTTAAAAAAAATCCCTTCAGAGGAACTGGTAAATGAGATTATAGACGTGTGCCACCATGCCTGGCTTGTAAATTCCCATTCTTCTTCAAAGAAATGCCTATAGAAATTTCAGTTGGCTTTCTTCCTTCATCTAATCTTCTTCAGTAAAAAGAATTGTGTTCTCCTTGTAGAATGATGAAGTAGAGTTTGTACGAACTGGCTATGGGAAGGATATGGTAAAAGTTCTCCATATTCAACGAGATGGAAATTATCACAGCATTAAAGAGGTGACAACTTCGGTGCAACTGACTCTGAGGTCCAAGAAAGATTATATGCATGGAGATAACTCAGACATCATCCCTACAGACACCATCAAGAACACAGTGCATGTCTTGGCAAAGTTCAAGGGGGTATGTATCATTCTTAGATGCTGCAGAATTCACTATAAGGTAACATGGGGGTGGTACTATCTATCTTTAAGTTCTCATTTCCTTTTAGCCTATTTTACATTTACGCTATTTAAAAAATCTCCTTTCTACTCTAAAATTCTTAGCCATACTGAGAAGTTTGTTTTTGCCTTAAAAAAAACCCTCATATCTTTACTCCCTCCTCTTTAATACTTTAGGAGAGAATCTATTGGACAAATTAACATGTCATCTCAAATTAGGACCATAGGAAATCAATGTCTTAGAATAAATGTTCAGAATAAAATGTAACATGTCTGTTATGTGTTTTTTTTTCTGTTTATTTGAACCAATATTGGGGCTTAAGCTCAAGGCCTATGCACTATCCCTTAGCTTTTAAGCTCCCGAAAAAAGCTCTACTATTTCTCTTTCCGTTATTACTACAGAAGAAAATCTTGAGTGTAAGACATTTCCTTTTATTACCAAAATCTGTTTTTCCAAACTGGAATGACCTTCTATCTTTCTCAGTTCCATTACCAACTACTACCAGTATGCAGTGGTTGGCTGTCCTCTCCAAGAGTGACCCAGACCTGAAGGCACAAGGTATTTTAGCACCTCTGGTTCTAGAGTCTTTCAGTGTACATGGAACTGTGCAGGGCCACCTGCAGGTTTCTGGGCAATTCAAGATAATTTCTCAATTTCTGAGAAGTCTAAAAAAACAAGAAATGCAGACTGGAAAGGTTATATGTTTGCGTCTTTGCATGAGATCTGCATTTATCACACATCAATAAATAAAATAATTGCAGGGTAATTTCTGCAAGGCCTGTTTCTGCTCTGAACCTTTCTCTTGTTAATCAGAATGACACAGTAAATAGAGCTATGGAAAAATTTGCTGTCTTAAAGAAAAACAAACAAACAAAAACACATTTTCAAATAGTCCTGTACTATGATAGGAAAGAGGACCAGGTATCAAAATTTCTTATATTTTTTGTACTGTGTGAGAGGTTGAAGAAAAGTGAAAAAATGGATATTAAAACAAATTTAAACTAATTTCTAATAGGGCAACCATATAATTCCTTATCCTGTCCAGGCTATTTTTTGTGGAAAACTGAGCTTTTATTATATATGTGAACAGGAACAATATACATAAAGTTGAAACATTCCATGTACATTTGGCTCTAGCAAAAAAAAAATGGTGCTATGTTAAAACTCAGAGACTTAATGGTTTAAAAAGTAAAGGTTATGACATTTAAAATTACTATACAGTAGACACAAATTTAGAATTTTTTTGGGTTGGGGGGTCTGGTCATGGGGCCTGAACTCTGGGCCTGGGCACTGTCCCTCAGCTCTTCAGCTCACGGCTAGCACTCTACCTCTTGAGCCACAGCGCCTCTTCCAGCTTTTTTCCTTTTGCTTATGTGGTGCTGAGGAATCGAACCCAGGGCCTCAGGCATGCAAGGCAAGTGCTCTACCACTGAGCCACCTTCCCAGGCCACAAATTTGGAATTTTTAAAATTAAATTTAATAATCAGAATGCCATCTGATTCTCAACAGCTAACTTTTTTTCCCAAAAGCCTGTACACATACAGGCTACCTTCACCCCACAAGTGGGTCCTAAAGTGAAAAAAGAGCCCAGTCATTCCTTTGGATCTTAACAATGTAGTCCTAACTACTTTCATCAAAACAGCAAAGGACTATCTGAAATGGGAACCAGGCCATTTCTGAGATCAAAATAAGACCCTATCATACTAATTCTGGAATAACAGGTATAAACCAGAACTAGGCTCGGAAACCTGCACAAATAAGCCACCTAAATTTTTAGGCAAAATCATTTATAAGTCACAAATTGTGCTAAGGCCATAAAACACTGCCTAGAAATTACTATGGAGAATTTGTGAGAAGATGGGGAGCTGGAAGGAGTCAGTAGCAGGCTCACGTGGAAGGCAAGGAAGGGGAAGCGACCCTTCATTGATATATTTCTCTTGGGAAACTTGGGAACCATTCACAAATCTCACAGAGCCTAGAGTGTTTTTCAGTAATCTGTCGTTGACTAAGCTCACCTGGAAAAGAACTGAAGGTTGATTTTTGCTTCTTCTGGTAAGTTTTCTACTATTCAAGGGTGCTTTTCAAAGTTGGGTAGAGTCTCACCTGGTAATGGTCACCAAGGGACTGTACTTGGGACATTTAGTACAAAATTGGGATAAAGACTCATATGGTGCCTGAGATTCATTCTAATTCAGCTCTCCTCTCATTCTGAAGAGCTACTGCTCAGGAAAGAGAGTTCCCTTAGGCTTTAAAACTTAACTTTGAACTGGTGGTGGTGGCACACACCAATAATCCCAGTTTCTGAAAGAAGATCACAGGTTTGCAACCAGTCTAGACTGCACAGAGAGAACTTGTGTCAAAACTACCACCAACAAAAAAATAAAATAAAATAACAAGAAACAAAGAATCCCTTCAAATAGGGAAAGCAAATATCTCTGATCACTAATATTTTGTTTCTTGTTACAGATAAAATGCATAGAAAACTTTGCTGTGAACATTTGTGAGCATTTTCTTTCTTCTTTTAACCATGTCATTCGAGCTCATGTCTATGTGGAAGAAGTCCCGTGGAGGCGTTTTGAGAAGGTTATTTCTCATCGATGTTCCCAGTTGAATTAAAGAAATGGGTGCTGTGGTAATGCTGAAATTTGACTGGAAAACAATGTCCCCCTTGACTTTCAGAATGGTGTCAAGCATGTCCACGCATTTATTCACACGCCCACTGGAACCCACTTCTGCGAGGTTGAACAGATGAGGAATGGTAAGAATTACTTTTCATGTTTTGATTCTGCAAGAGTGATTTCAGGGGACCCCTCCCCCACCCATACCTCTCCTAAACATTGCTGTGGGAAAAAACAAAGGCATTTTTAAGACTTTTAAATCTGAGACAGGAATGAACCATTGACAGTCGATTACATTAAAGAATTACCTGTTTCCATAAAATAAAATTTCATCTTGGAGCCAACTATAGACATTAAGTAGGAGTGAGGCAGAAGTGAGGGTTTAAGTGGGGCCCCAGATGAAAAGAATACACATTTCTGACCAATATTGGGTGTTATTCTTTACCATATCATGCTATAATTATAATATTTTATAGGAAAAGCTTACTAAATAACAATCAAATTTTCCCAACATTTTGTTTGCATGTTAACTAAATCATTAATAGCACTATAACTTCAAGAAAATGAACTCATTTTAAATGCAAAGGATAGTTACATAATTCTATTTACAAGTCATTTAAAAATTAATCATGTAACATTACTATACTATAGACTATATCAGTACTGATCATTAAAGTGAGCAAATGTTAAAATTCCAAAGCTTGTATTCTACTAATTTGTTGAGGTCGTCAGAACACAGTTCTAGACATCACTAAGACTTAGACCAGAGACTTTTTAAAGAAGTCAAAGATGGAAGAAATCTCTTTAATTCAATAAAAACAAAATAAGCTGTAATATTGACTTTGAGAATATTGACTCTGAGCTCTTTGCTTTTTCCTTTCCTTTTCTTTTTTTTTTTTTGGTCAGTCATGGGGCCTGAACGCTGGGCTTGGGCGCTATCCCTCAGTTCTTCATCTCAAGGCGGGCGCTCTACCACTTGAGCCACAGCACTACATCCAGTTTTCTAGTGGTTTATTGGAGATAAGAGTCTCACGGTCTTTCCTGTCCAGGCTGGCTTTGAACCGAGATCCTCAGATCTCAGCCTCCTGAGTAGCTAGGATTACAGGCATGAGCCGCTGGCACCCGGCTTGCTTTTTCCTTTTCTATTTTCCTTTCTTTCTCCCTCCTTCTTCTATATGCCTTTATTTCTCTTCCTTTTCCTTTTTTCTTTAGCCCTCTTCAGTATGACCTTGAGATGGCAGATGCCATCAGAAATATTACAGGCCAGTAATATAGAAGGTCACTTTGCATTCTGAGTTTTATTTGATAAAGCCCTCTTAGAAAGCACAAATATACCAGCCATCAATTAATGTTTTTAACTATCTGTATCTAGACATAGGCAGGACCTTACCAGTGTTTGATTAACAGTTATCAAATTATTGCTGTATAAAAGAGAATAAATAGTTGATGTTTTCAGTTAGAAATGAGTGAGTGTGTGTGTGTGTGTGTGTGTGTGTGTTTATGGTCAAGCCAGTAGCCTGAACACTGTCCTTGAGATTTTGTGCTTAGACCTTATGCTCTATCACTTGAGCCACAGCTCCACTTCTGGCTTTTCGGTGATTAATTGGAGGTAAGATTGTCATAGACTTTCCTGTGTGGACTGACTTCTGAACAGTGATCTTCAGATCTTGGCCTCCTCAGAAGCTAGGATTACAAGTGTGAGTCATTGATGCCCAGATTGGAAATACTTTTCTAATCCTCAAACATGAAACTCTTTGAGATATTAGTTAAAATTGCCTTTTTTCCCCTATTTTCCTCTCCTTCCCTTCCATTCTTTTTTTAAAAAATTATTTTTCTCTTTGTTATATCTTGTAAAAAGAGGTTTCACTTTAACATGTCTATTTCTGTATATAATACATATTGATCAATGTCACCCCTTCTATCATTTTCTTTTGCCTCCTTTTCTCTGTCTCCTCTCTACCTACCTCCCTGTCCTCCCTGCCCTCCCTCCCTTCCCTGCCTTCTTCCTACACTTCTTTCTTCCTTCTTTCCCTCTTTTTCCTTTTTTATTTCTCTCTTCCAGAATGTAACTTTGGAGGAAAGGAAAATTAAATTCTTACTTCTTAGGAGGACAGTGTTTTCTAATTTAAACTACATTAACTACTCTCATAAAACAAGAAACTGAGCTAGCCTCAAGTGGAATACAATCCAAGCTACATATGCACTTTAATATTTTTCTACTAGTCACATTGAAAAAATAAGGAAATTAGGGGAAAAATTTAATAATATATTTCATTTAACCTAATGTATCCAAAATTTTGTTATATAATTAAACATTAATAGAATATTCCAGTCTTTGAAAATTTAAGCTGTTGAAAACTTGTGTGTATTTTATATTGACACCACAGCCTGTCACTCTAGCCATATTTCCGGTGTCTAATAGCCACATGTGGTTAGTGGCTACTATGTGATCAGCGTAGCTTTCAACTATTTTGGGGGACACAGAACAGTCTTCACTCTACTTTTAATTATGTAAAATAACAGCAAAGGCTAGAATTAAACTTCAAGAGAGCTGATTACAATTAAAAGCACTTATGGAAATAACTTGTGCCATTCATTCATATATTATTCATGCAACAATTTGATTTTTTTGTTGTTGTTGGTAGTGGGGTCTAAACTCTGGGCCTGGGCGCTGTCCCTGAGCTCTTCAGCTCAAGGCTAGCACTCTGCCACTTGAGCCACAGCACCACTTCCGACTTTTTCCTGCTTATGTGGTGCTGAGGAATCAAACCACGGCCTCATACATGTGAGGCAAGCCTTCTACCACTGAGCCACCTTTCCAGCAGCCCTCAACAATTCAATTTTGAGAATTTCTATAGATAAAGAGATAAACTTTCTATGGCAGTAGTGAATTCATAGTAGACAAATTACAGGAGACAGACCTCTAAGGGGATTTATTGCAATTTGAATGGTTAAGACCACAAGGAAGGGAGTAAAGATGTTCAGAGTGAACAAAGTTGTATAAAAATCTAACTTCCCAAGGTAGTCTGAAACACTTTACAAGGAAGGGAGGAGGAACGGTTCCAATTTTCTTTTTTGTTTTTGTTGAACTCAGGACCTTGTGCTCAAGAGTATTGCTCAGCTGATACTCCACTACTTGAGCCTTATCTCCAGCACAAGTTTTTGTCATTTTGGGGATGCAGTTTCATGGACTTTTTTTTTCTGCTCATGCTAGCTTCAAACTTTGATCCTTCAGGCCTCAACCTCCTAAGCAGCTAGGGCTAACTTCAAACTTTGATCCTCCAGACCTCAGCAACCTAAGCAGCTAGGATTAAAGACAAGAACCACAGGTACCTGACCTTCCAACTGGATTTTGTAAACAATTCAAAATATTTTGCACATGGAATTGGAAAGGAAAGACTTCAGGAAAAAGACATAGGATACATAAAGGAGAGAGAGAAGTGAATGCAAATGCTTTGGCAACTGCCTAATACTCAGTCCTGTCCTGGGCAAGTAGATGCCTAATTGTTGAAAGGTCAAAACATTTGATGAGCAGGCATGTGTTCAGAGAGTCTGATTCCTTTAGTCCTCTGAAGGGTTTCGCAAGGCACTTCTGCACAGTAGTTAATCCTGAGGGCCTTGGGATCAGAAAGGACTGTATTTGGATATGAGTTCTATTACCTAACAATAGAATGGATAACATGTGAATTACACTACTTCTGTGGGTTTCATGAGGGTGGCAAGCCTCACTTCTACAGCCATCCAGAGAAATAAAGGAGATATGTGTTCGTTTTATTAAAGCATTCAGCTTAGTGTCTGGCCTATAAGCAGGAAGTACTCCTTAAAAGTGGCTGGAATTATAGTTAGCTTGACAAGAGAGAAGCAGAGAAAGTCATCAGTGATTAGGTGAGTGAGGTGTGTATTTCTTTGGTTCAATAATTAGGATCAAACTGTGGCAAACAGGCCCCAAAAGCAAGTAGCTGTGAGACGTCTGAAGACTAGTTGCAGAGAGAAAGTGATAGATCTGCAGCCATCCATAGAAGCAGGGCCGGAGGGACTGAGAACTTGCTGGCTATCTATACTAGATGCATATGGGAAGTATAATCTGTTGGTTATAGAGGTTGAATAGGAACAGAAGTTTAGAGGAAAGGAGAGGTTAAAGTTGACTCTAAAGTGAGAGGGTGGGGTGTTTACTGAAGAGAATGTAATTTATATATATAAAGCTGGGGGATGCTGTCAAGTTTTGGAATATGGATGGACAGTAGAGGAAATCATAGGGAAGGAGATCATTCCAGAAAAACATATAATATGAGGAGAGGGCCTAGGAAAATTCCTTGGTTTAAGGGTTAGGCTGTTTAGAAGACTGGTCAGAAAGATATAAGGAAGGGGCTGAGAAGGTGGCTCAGTGGTAGAGCGCTTGCCTTGCATGCATGAGACGCTGGGTTCGATTCCTCAACACCACATAAGCAAAAAAGAAAAAAGCTGGAAGTGGCGCTGTGGCTCAAGTGGTAGAGCGCTAGCCTTGAGCTGAAGAGCTGAGGGACAGTGCCCAGGCCCAGAGTTCAGTCCCCATGACCGGACCCCCCCAAAAAACAAAAAGATATAAGGAAGGCTGGAGACATTGGTGTCATGAAAACAGGAGAAAAAAATGTGTTTTACAAACTCAGGGTTACCACAGCAACAGGAGCCATAACAAATCGCTTCATATGTAAAGGCTCAATACAAGATGTTCATTCTTTCCCTCCATCCCTAACCTTCTTCCTTCCCTTCCTTCCTTCCTGACTTCCAAAGAACTAGACAATCCATCAAGGCATAGTTAAAGGTGACAAAAGAATTTTATTTACACTAATTACACCAGGTAGCCTGCAACTGCCTTGTCCTGGGCTAGCTATCCAGAACCAAGAGCAGACTCGACCACCAAACCTCCAAGCCTCCAATGGGCAGCCTCAACTTCATTAGTTGGTCTGCAAACCTCCAACCCCAGACCTCCAAAGCTCCAAAGCTCCAAAGCTCCAAGGGGAAGACTTTTCCTTTTCCTTCCTTCCTCCTTCTTTGCAGGCCTCTCCACTCTCCACAGGCCTGCCCTGCTCTATTCTGATAGGTGCCTCTTCACAGGCCTCTCTAGAGGCCTCTCCACAGGCTTGCCCTGCCCTGCTCTGCT